TGTCAGCTGGCGAGCCCCGGACCTGCGCCCGTCAGCTGGGAGGTCTGGAGACGGAGACGGCTGGCGTGGAGGGCGATGGGGAAGCGGTGGCTCGGCGGGCGCAGGAGGTAGGCACGCGCAAATCCTGCGCACGAATGTCAGGCCCACCCGACCATGCAAGGGCTTGCATGGTCGCCGGCGGCGGGGAGCGTGTCAGCGGCACTTGGGGACCATGCAAGCCCTTGCAGTCACTCCAGCCGAAGAAGCAAGAGGCTGGGAGGCTGCGGCAGCATGGTTGGGAGGCCGCGGCGGCGCCTCCCTCCTGCGCCCGTCAGCTGGTGAGCCCCGGACCTGCGCCCGTCAGCTGGGAGGTCTGGAGACGGAGACGGCTGGCATGGAGGGCGATGGGGAAGCGGTGGCTCGGCGGGCGGGGTCCTGCCTGCGCGCGAATGTCAGGCCCACCCGCCCCATCTGCAAAAGAAAACGTCTTCCGCCCAAGCATAACCTTTAAGGATTTTAAGGATCTTTGAGAGGGAGAGAGAAATAGAGGGAGAGAAAGAGGGAAAGAGAAATAGTATACTACCGGTATGTGCGTCTTATGGTCAGGTGCGTCTTATAGAGCGAAAAATACGGTATATTTAGAGATGAAGAACCGATTGTAAAATGTGGAATAATGTGTGATAAGAATGTATATATTGGAATGTGTGATAAGAATGTATATACTGGAATGTCACGTTACATCCAATGTTTTTTTTAATTGTATTATAAATAAAATTTTGAAAAAATAAAAAATAAAAAAAAGAATGCAAATAATTTTTATAGCTGCACAATAAAATTTTACAATTGTGTACAGTATGTAATTATGGAGTCTCTGTCAGCCGAATGATATTTAATGTAAAACCCATCTGAATAACTTGGATTTTTTTAAAAATAAAGACCATATCAGCATTTTATAAAAGTCTGGATTAAATTCACAATATAAAAGAACATGTTCAGTTTTCTCTATCTTACCTCATTCTCATAGGAGAAATCCTCTTGGGACCTGGGATATTACAGCATCTTTAAAAAAAGATACTGAGGGTGTGGCATTCAGGCAAGCTCTTAAAAATGTCTATTGATAACATGGAATAAGAGAAAAATCAGGCGTCAGAAGAGGGTCTCTGGGATTTTATGAAAAGTTGATAAAAAGTTTAAAATCCTCTTAGATTATTTAGTGGCTCTGTCCCAGATCCACTGTTTGATTACATATTTTTCATTGTTAAGCCTTAAGGATAGTGAATACTCGGGTGACAATCTGTAGGAGAGCAATTTGTTTGTAATACTCTTCCATCATTTTGATCTATAAACACACAATACTATTAATGGTAGCCTTGTTGCTGGAGTCAATTTAAACCTATTCAAAACACATTGATTTTTATTCTTAGCAACCCAGTTTCTAATCTCAGAGAATAAATTGCTGAATTGTGCCTCATGTGGTGATTTTACAGTGGATTTGCTACAAGTAATTTAATCATTCCTTCTTGCATCCCATGGAATTTTAAAATGGCTTTGGCATTTTTCAGAGTGAGGCATAACTGCAAATTCCTTCTAGATATTTGACAAACAATTCCTATTCATGTAAAATAATTCAGAATGCTGTTGTAGGACCTTAGCTGGCCATCTCTGAACAAACCTCCCAAGAATCTCATTAAGGTGCATTTTTATCTAACTTAATACAACATTTTAATAAATGTTCTCTATTATAATCCTACAGAAAGTAATTCCAGAACTCCAAAAGCTGTTTTTTTCAAAACATGAAACATATATTCTGAAACTGTGGCCCCTGTTTATAAAGTTGCTTGGAAAAGTAAGTTGGGGAAAAAATCATTTTAACCTATGATACTGGAAGTACATTACAGTATACAATGACGCTGCATTTTCCCCTTTAGACACTGCACCATAGTGGAAGCTTTATCAATTCCTTGCTCCATTTAGAAGAACTTGGATTTCGTAGTGGCTCCCCGGTGGTGAAGAAAATAGCTTTCATTGCGTGGAAAAGTCTGATTGATAACTTTGCTTTAAATCCAGGTACACTAACACGTTGAGCAGTAATGATCAGCAATGAATATACTCTTGTTTCTCACCTGCAGAGGGAAAATCAGTGATTAAACTGACACACAAAACATAGGAAGTTATTAGTGATGTCGATAGTTTAAATTAAATTAGTTGCCATCTTGTCACATACTGACT